TGGCTTACCATTTATATGTATCGATTGAACTTTCGCGACATATACACAATGGCACATATGCCTGTGGCCGAAAGGCGAGGTTACCGTTGGCCCAAGGTATTGTCCAATCAATCCCAATTCCCGATGATGGAGAGATGCCAGATCTGCTCATGTCAACCGATACAATCGAATATGATAGCCCAAGAGTTTTGTTCGGCTCGATACGTTAATCTGTCCAGGAGATTTTATTGTTTCCGCTGTCAAATTTAGCACTAAAACTAATTGTAATACCACCGCATGCAGACAGACGCGTTAAACATCCAATTATCAAATGTATCAATCCAACTTTGTAATGTTCCAACAATGAAATAACAATGAAATAATATGTAAACATCAAACATCGTGATATCTACGATCAGTATTTATGGTATCATGCGTATAAAATTACGCCCAGTGAAAAGAAGATATCACCCGAATTGAAAACGTATAACGGAAATACGAGATTTTGATATCATTATTTCATGTTGCAGACAGATGAATGTATACTCAAGTTTTTCGATAATCAACAATGGAATGCTGTTGAACAATGTTCAGCCGCGATATTGGATCGGAATTGGCTTAAATTATTAAATTTCGGATTTGAAAAAGGCAATTCCAATGACGTTATAAATAAATCAAATAGTTATCAAGGATGAAATATATTTTGCATTGTTTCGCGTTCTTTTCTCAGTGTAAATATTGTACATAGAACGCAATTAAAATCAGTGTTTTGTGTTAATCATTCTTGTTCTTTTTTTCGTGCGTTCTTTCGCGGCCGCGACACTAAGCCACCGCATATTCATATTGACTAAGAAAATTACATAAATTAATAAATTGATAAATTAAATAGGAGAAAAATTCATGAATAAGAAGATACGTTTAAATCCAGAAACACAAAAGAAAAGATAAAATAATGAAAAATATAACGCCAAGCCAAGGAATTATGTAAAATTCACCCGGATGTCAAAATTTCATTATGTATTTCTCGTTTAAGAGTCTCTGCAGACAAATTTGCATAGGTGCATAAGTATATGCATAAAGAAATTGATTAGTTTATTTCCTTATGCATGCACTTATGGCCTAATCAGGTTACTTATGTATATGTTAATGCGCTAAGCAAGTTTGCCTAGATAGACCCTAACAGCGAGAACAGATTGCGTAACACGCACGCATCACAGCATACATAGGATGCTTCTTCTTTAACATTTGGTGAATAATAAGGATAAATGATGCATCACGCGCATTATGCGTGAAACGGAACGCACCTTTATTGAACTCAGTAACTTTTAAATCTTTCGAACTATTCTATTTGCTGTTTACCATACACACATCTTACAATCCCATCTAACGGTCACCCGCTTACTGCTTATACATTACGTTAAATCTTATTGTAATAGAAAGCTCTGTTTAAGTTCTAGGAACATATTTATTTAATATCGATACGTTCAATTTTCTTTATAGTAAGCGATTGAGTTATTCGATTACTTATTATTAGACAAAAGCTTAAACTTATTTCCCCGTTGCTGTTTCTTTTTTCTACTTTTTAAATTTTAATACCAAGTCGTTTTACTTTTGACATCTTTGACTACGTCACGTTCGTTAACACATTTGTGTGTGCGTGCATGAATGCGTGCGTGCGTATAACTCAATTTATTCTCGCCATTAAACGAGGAATACATTATGGAATTTTTACATATAAACGAATTTTACACGATTCTTTGGCTTAGCGTTACATTTTTATTATTTTAGCTTCTACTTTTTGTGTTTCTAGACTTAAATGTACTTTATTATCTTTCGATTTCTCTTTTTTATTTGTGGATCTTTCTCCTATTTATTAATGTATTTATTATGTAATTTTATTTTAGTGAATATGAATTATGCGGTTTTATCGATAAAAGCGCCTCTAAAGGCCTGTGTTCACGATGCTAGAACTTGGTCCAAGTTCTAGTTTCGAGAAATGTGTAGCCAATCAACTTGCAGCTATTCCATAAAAGCTGCAAGTTGATTGGCTACACATTTCTCGAAAGTAGAACTTGGACCAAGTTCTAGCAGAGAGGAGCCTGAGAGCTGCCACAGCCCGGTTTTACGTGATCCTCGAACGCGATACGCCCTCTCTGAACATTGAAAACGTGCACATGAATTACGTAGCCAATGTCCACGTTTGAGGTAAGCGATAACGCACATGTGCACGTTTTGGTTGTGTTCCGTGCTATGTGCATGAAGTACCGATGAAACCAGAGTTATTGATTATTCGTTATGTGAGCGAACGAGACAGTAATAGGAGCGAGCGAGAAAGCTGTAAGAGTAAGCAAGACAGTAATAAGAGCGAGCGAAGAAATATTCGTATTAATTAATGGAAGAATATTTAAGGGCAAAACTAAATAATTCTTCTCTTGTAACATTTTATTAAAAATATATGTATTAAATGTAGAGTTTCTTAGTAAAAGTAATGACAAATATAATTATATTTTTTAGTATTACATTATTACACATATTATAATATGTTCCCTGATATAATAATAATAAATATAGTTATATTCATTATTACATTGCAGTTACAATTTTATCTATCTTGAGTTATGTCCCCCTGTCCCTGCCTACTCGAATCCCTACCTATCCGTATTCCGCTGTATAGTCCTACCCACTTTCCTACCTACCCGCATTTCAACTTTTTGTTAATAAACCTACAAGTCTTTTGTTAAAACCGCGACGCAATTTGTAAGAGGTCCAATTTGGGATTATACGTGTGCGAATAGGATTTTATAGTGGTCTTGTTAATCTTGCACATATACGAGAATATATAAAGAAGAATAACCCACCCGAATTTTGACAAATAAAAGAAATCAAATAATTTTGTACATCAGACTGGCCAATATTGACCAATTACCCTGTCGCGTCTAGTCTTCCCTCGTTGGGCCAGATTGGACATACCTTTCGTTGCTCCTGGCCATACAGTCTGGTCATTTTGACCAGAGATTAGGAAGGAAGAAAACTCCTTCCATAGTCGGCTAATCACCGACAGATATTTCGTACGGTTCGAATTGTATGCGTGCGTCGATAGTATCGAAAAATACACGACCACGAGAGAAGTTATTTAAAGAAGAATATTAATTCAAAAACTTTACTGTATATACGAGAATCGAATTTATTTTTATTTCCGTTATTTATTCAAAAATATTGACCACCTCTTTGTAACTTAATCTTTGAATTCGAAATTCAAGTACACATTATTAAAAAAAATTTACTTCGCGTTAGAGTGATTTTAATCATATTCCGCGATAAACTTAAATTTATAATATGGATAAATTAAATAATTAATAATTTCTTGAAAATTTTTCCTGAAAAAAACCGATCGCGAAAACCGACCGCGAAAACCGACCGCGAAAATACAAAGATGCGTGCGACTATGCATGTATTCATGCAAGACGCATCTTGAAAGTATCGCGAGACATGCAGAATAAATGACGTAAGATCCAGAAAAAAGCAACTTGCCGCACGAGTAACACCGATATTATAATTGAATATTACAGTTAATCGATAATCTCAAATGAAGTATCAAAATAATTTCAAATTTAAGCATTCTCGACGAAATGTATTTGAATCTTACGTCATGTTACATTACTTTATACATACATCAATTCATTAATTAAAAATGGATAGGCTACGACAGATTAGTTGGCCGAATACATTAATAATATTCGTCATATTTCGCGTAATTTCTGTGACATAGTTAAAAGATTTTCAACGTGAGAAATGAGCTCGACATACTCTGATTTGTAGAGCTCTACAAAATTACTTCTCTTCGATAAATCAAATATTTTAAATAAAACGCGAAATTATCTGTAACCTGTCCATTTTAACGTAACGGGATCTACGAAATGTATCAAACTACAATCTACGATCTAAAAATGTAGATTCCGTTACTTTAATAAAAAACTTTTCACTCACCGACACGATGCGCAGCGGCGGAGTTGTATCTGCGTTGATTCCGCAATGGCGCCGGATGCCTCCTCCTCCACTCAGGTGTCCTCCTCTCAGGTGTCGTTGTCTCAGCTGTCCTCCGACACACTCGCGAATTTACACTTCCGTTTGTAAAGTCACTTGTCGCTGTCACTGTATCCAATTGTCACTTCACTCGCGACTTTACACTTCCGTTTGTAAAGTCACTTATCACTGTCGCTGTATCCAAATGCCACTTCTTCGGCTTTCGCTGTGTCCGATTGTCACTGACTGTGAGTCCGATTGCGACTACGAACTGTTCGATTACATTGTCGCGCTGATACCCGCACAAATCACTGACACAAATCGCGGGAATTCAACGATCGCACGACGACATCGATCGTTGATTATTCACAGAGAGCGATCGCGGTTTCTTCCCGCACTTGTCGCGGACGCGTATCGAGAAAGAATAATACGACACGCGAAGCGGCGCGAGCACAACCGATCAGTTCAACTGTCGCCGCGTGAATGACCCTGCGTACGGCGCCGTAAACACCGCCGAAAACCGAGCGCGGATTCCAAGAAATGACGTAGCGCCGTGAACACCTCGGTCGAAAACAATTTTTTCTGTCGAACATTCGGCGGGGCGAATGTTCCGCGTGTTTTTGCCTCGCTCCCCGTGACGCGATTATTTCCTACGAGAATCTCGATCATCTCCTACGCACGCGATCGTCTCGTTCGAAAGTTATCAACATTTATCAATCGCGTTCAAGTAATTGTCGCGATCCGCAATTAAATCGTTAATTTCTACGGTGATTTGTCGCGACGACGACGCGACACGACGAACCGCCGCGTGTGTTGCGATTCGTTTAAAATGCAACTTCTACTTCAAATTATGCGCGATATATTCGTCGCGACATATCACCTTTACCGACATTTCATGCATGCAGCACGGAACACAACCAAAATTGGGCCCTGCAATACCCGCTTGACTGCAAGCAACACGAACAAACCTACAGTGTGAATCCAGCCTAAGGTCTATGGAGGAAAGAAAAAAATTTACACACCTATATTGATATTATTGTTTGTGTAAAAAGAGTGTACCGGCGTGCGAGGAAATTACGCCGCAAAGTGTTTATTGATCAAGCATGAATTTACTTCTGGCGGCACGCGTAACGTTATGTTAAATGCTATTACATTTGTAAGCGACGTAACGTAAGAGAACGAGGCTGAGCAGAATGCAAGAATCCGTAAAGTTTAATCTCAAAGAGGTTAAGTCGGACCTTCTGCACGCGATACGCGAATGCTCTCAACGTGGTCTTCTACACACCACCAAATGGTGAATTTTCGCATTGAGCGAACGTCTCTGACGCGCACGACTTTGGGACTTGATATCCCGTGTTTGTTGCAGGTTAGCGGAATTAAATTATTCGTTGAAGAATGTGGAGGTGGACGCGCACGATCTGACCGCGGATCTGAAGGCACCGGAGATCGGCGAGGCAGAGGACGTTTACACGCTGGCCAAGACGTACTTCGACCTGAAGGAGTACGACAGAGCGGCGCACTTCACCAAGGATTGTATCAGTCCCAAGATCAGATTTCTACACTTGTATTCGCGCTACTTGTCGGGGGAGAAGAAGAAGATAGACGATATGACGGACGTGCCACCGGATCCTTTGAAAAACGAGACTCTCAAGGACCTCTGCGCCGATCTGAGGGCGGATCATCTGGCATCGAGGCTGGACGGTTACGGCCTATACCTCTTTGGCGTGACGCTGAAGAAGCTGCAGCTCATTAAAGAGGCAGTGGACGTTTTAGTAGAATCCATATATAAGGTGCCCATGCATTGGGGCGCGTGGTTAGAACTGGCTGCACTCATCACGGACAGGGAGAAACTGGATGGCTTATGCCTGCCCAATCATTGGATGAAATACTTTTTCATGGCTCACATGTACTTGGAGCTGCAACTCATAGACGAGGGTCTAGCGTTATATTGCCAGCTGCAGTCGATGGGCTTTCAGAAAAATGGTTATGTTTTAGCTCAAACTGCAATCGCCGTGCATTATAGAAGAGGCGAGTTGGAACAAATTCAATATTTAGAATGGACAGTGTGCAATCTTTGCTGAAAAACTTGGAAAATCAAGTTTGCTCTTGATTATATGACTAGAATTTTGTTCAATCGTTGATTAAATCTACTTGTATCGTTCGCAATTATTAACGTGTACTGCTATGTATATCGTACGTCACAGGTATATTTTTTTTTACTTCAGATGTTGATAACGCCATAGAAACTTTCAAAAGAATATTATATGACGATCCTTATTGTCTTGACAACATGGATACGTATTCGAATCTACTTTACGTGAAAGAATTGAAGGTTGAGTTGGCAAATCTGGCGCACAGAGCTACCGAGATAGATAAATATAGATTGGAGACTTGTTGTATAGTTGGCGAGTATCAATTACGTCCCTTTTAAAGACATACGCACAACAATGTTGCATTTAAGGAGAACGTATAGTTAAGAGATGAAATAAAGGGTATTTCTTTTAGGAAATTATTACAGCTTGAGAGCTGATCATCAAAAGGCAGTGATGTATTTTCACAGAGCGTTAAAAATGAATCCGCAATATTTGTCAGCTTGGACGTTACTGGGTCACGAATTTATGGAAATGAAGAATACCAATGGTGCAATCCACAGCTACCGACAGGCGATTGGTAAATTCTTTGAATACTTTCTGCTCGCATCGACAACATATACATTTTCCACTTATATCTTTCAACTTACTAGAGGTGAATAAGAGAGATTATAGAGCATGGTATGGTTTGGGCCAAACGTACGAAATCTTGAAAATGCCGTTTTATGCGCTCTATTATTATAAACAAGCTCAGCTCTTAAGGCCTCACGACAGTAGGATGGTTCTAGCCTTGGGCGAAGCATATGAAAAGCAGGATAAAATTCAAGACGCACTCAAGTGTTATTACAAAGCATGCAACGTGGGCGACATAGAAGGAATGGCGCTCTTAAAATTAGCAACGTACGTATCCAATTTGTAGCACTGTGGGACAAGTATAATGTAGGTATATTTCTCGTCTTGTACACAGGCTGTATGAGAAATTAGGAGAACACGATCATGCGGCGGCAGCTTATACAGATTTTGTAATAGATGAATTTCGAAGTGTCGATAGAACAGATCTTAGTCATGCGTATAAATATCTAACGCAGTACCATTTGAAGAAGGAACAATTGGATCAAGCTAATCATTATGCACAGAAATGCCTTCAGTTTGACGAAACGAAGGAGGAAGCAAAAGTATTATTGAGAACTATTGCTGAAAAAAGGACTAAAGTGGAAGAAACTTCTATGGTGGTAGGTAAAATAATTTTACATTAATTAACGAAGCAACTCAATTTTGTAATTTTTCTAGGTGGATGATATGAACGAAACTGATCCTGTAATTGAGCAGAGAGTGCAAACGGATGCAACACCCGAGAGTCAACTATCGCCGATGAATCTTTCGTTCACACCTACGCCATAAACAAAACAATATTTTCTATTCACAGTACACAATTTCAATATTTGTAATTTTGTATGTAAATACAAAATATTTAGTAATTTTGTATTATATATTTTTCTAATAAATTGTTTTTTTTTTCTTTCGAAAGGTGCAATATTAAAATTTTTCCAGAATTTCATATACGTATATTAAGTGCATCTAAATTGATTATTAGGCACCATATACATATTTCTATATACATAAGTACATAATACGAAACAATTAACAAACTTTCGATTTTTAATCTAAATTGAAAAAGGGTCATAAAATGGCTACCATATTAAATTCCAGTTTAATTGGAGCGTCTATGTATTTATGCAGTCATATGTTAATACTTTATATAAAAATAAAATAATACTATTATACATATAATGTATAATGTAATGAATTTGTGAAACAGATTCATTTTCTGTCAATGATTTATTTATACTGTTAATTACATCGTATTATTGTATAAAAATATTCTTATCTCATAAACCTAATGTATATAGTTAATTAATTTTTATGATATAAGTATAAAATACAATTAATTACCGATTGAAGTATTCAATTTGCATTCGGACATTTCTTCTTCGGCGAGTTATTGTTGACCAATACAGTTTCCTGTAAACATATATATTCTCAGTAATTTTCACAATTTAATCTTTAGAGATAATGTGATTTCTAAATCATTGTTCATCCTTACTTCATTGTCAGATATATCGACCAGGTAATTTCTTGTTTCCCTGAATCTCTGAATAATTCGTTCATGTGGCGAAGTTTCAGCAAGGTATCGCGGATATCGATATTCTTTTCTAGCTGGCGTTGAACCTGTAAAGAAACGTTATATGAATTTAGTTCATCTAAAAAATTAAAAAATCTTAATAAATACATAATACATATAATAGTAAATCGGATATTTACCTGTTGGCGTATCATGCCGTAAATCTTCGACAAATTTCTCAACACTTTCCTGCACTGAATGCAATTCTGTAATTGTCTTGTCATTCCAGAAAGACGAATTCTTACTTGCACTTGTAAGTTTAACATTCAATTCTATGGATGCTTGTAGATTTTTCTTTCTTAATTCTTCCGCAAGCTTTTCGTGATCATGACTTCCTTCAATTAGTATGCCATACAGATTCTATAAAAAGAATAATTAGCTATGGTATGCGTGTACGTTTAGCAAAACAATTTTATAATACATAAAGAGAGATTTACCTTGGCAGATTCAACAGAAGAAGAATTATCTTCCTTGAATTTTTGTTCCATTTGTTTCATGTTATCTTCGACATGTAGTTTGTTCTGCGCTAGTGCATCGCAGTGATTATTTAAATCAGTTTGAAGTTCGTCGGTCAAATTTCGGCTATGTATTGCAATTTGTTCTGCTAATGTCCAATTCTGATAGCAGAAGAAAAATGCATAATTAGTGTATCATATTACTGTTTATATTGCTTTTATTTTTCAAAGTACTTAATAATTTGAAAAATAATGGAAAGTTAAATGTTACCTCTTCCATGTTAGATGTAATATCGTTTTTGAGTGTATCCACATCGCTCTGAATTCTCTGTTGCATAATCTCATTTCTCTCAACAGCTTTGTGGTAATTATTGAGAATGTCACTAGTCGTACTGTCACAAATCTCACTAACGCGATTTAAGGTGGCGTTTGCGGTGGAATGTTTCTCGGTCACATTTTTATTTAACTTGATAAATTGTAGATACAGAGTTTCAAATGACTGTAAAATAAGAACGATGAATAATGTGATTAAAATTATTAAAAATATCAATCAAAAGATACACCAAAGTGCTACTAACAAAATATCAGATAATATATATTGTGAAGAGAATTATATTAAGTCATACCTTTTTAAAGATTTCTTGCTCCTCCATAATTTTACTATTACCTTCGTGAATAGATTGTACATTCTGTTTTATCTCATCTGCGTTTTTGTACGAATTATCACGTTCTTGCAACCTGTAGTTACAAAGTTGTCTTATTGATTCATTTGTATGTGACAATAATTTATCAAACTTATGAGATACATCGTCATTTAAACGATGTAAATTCTTTACAATTTCCATGTTATTAATTTCTATCAAATTATTAATTTTTGATGTCAGTTTTAGAGATACATCATTCAAAAAATTGCGTTCACGCTGGGTCATGTCAGATGAATATGCCGTTTCTGTGTCTAGCCACTGATGATAGTGTTTGTACTAAACAGAAAAAGTTGTTATATACATTTCGTTTATTACGTTTTTTACATGACAATAAACAACTTACTGAATTATTTATGTTCTCTGTAAATTTATCTATCGCTACTTTTTCTTTATTAATAATGTCATTTGACATATGGCAGATCATCGAATCAATATCCTTTTTAAACAACTCCATTTGTGAGTCTGCAAGAATAATATGATATAAATTAAATTGTCAAATACATCCTAATAATTTTTACTTACTAATGTTATTGTTCGTCGAAGTACAAAATTCTATGAATTCTTGCGTATAATCTGCAACATTATTTTCCACGTTTTGAATCTGTTTTGCAATATTATTCCGGAACTGATGACTGATATGTTCGTTTTCCTGCTCCAATTGTCTATAGACATGTTAAATGTACTTTAATATAATTACATTAATGCTATTTGTATTATGAAATATCAGCGCTGGTTGATATAATAATGATATGAAAAATGACATAACTACCTCTTGTGAGAAATTTTATCATGAAGCTTATTTACATCAACTGTTGCTGCATCAGCTACTTTCAAGAGTTTTTGTGCTTGCGACAGAAGTTGTTTTTCTGTAGATACATGTTTTTCTACTAAGTAACTCTGTTCCTCTTTCTCACGTTCTGTCATGTGCAAAAGTGCTGAAGTCGATTTCAAAGCATGTGTAGTAGTTTCTAATTGTTCCTTGGTTTCATGTAGATAATTGGTTTGTTCGATATGCTTTGTTTGCAAATCGGTAAAAATTTGCTAAACAGAAATAAAACTTAAGATAATAGTATTAATTATTAGAGCAAAGAATACATCGATTATTATCATTACCTCTTTAGCTTCCATAGTTTCTTTAAGTACTTTAATGTGAGTTATTTTTTCTTCAATTTCCTTGGTTTGATTTTCAATTAATGCTTGCATCTCATTATAATTCTCATGCGCCAAATATACACCGTTTCGTTCACGTGCTGCCAGCAAATCTCTCCTAAGCCTCTCAATTTCTTCTGTATACTCTTTAAGTAATGCCTTTTTAGACAGCTTCTGATTGATCTCGGGACGATTCGTAATATTTTTAGCACGGTGAGCATAATCTAATGTCGACAAGGTTTCCTCAAGGTTTATGCCCGCTGGAGACACTGTTGCAATGATTGACGTTTTCGTACGTCCGCCTAATGACTCTTGCAAAAGTCTTGTTAATTTTGATTCCCTGGTCAAAGTAAAACACAAAATAGATTGAATTAATTTTATTAGAAATAAATCATCATATGCATTATCATTATAATGTAAATTGGTATTACCGATACGGTATGTGAGGTGCTCTTTCAACAAGTGCTGTTATAACTCGACCAAGAGTCAATAGCGATTGATTAATATTTCCTGCTTCTCTTGCTCTCTTATCAACCGCACCAGATCTTCCAATATTTTCACTCCCAGCTAAATCTACCAAGTTCAATTTTCCTGTTTTTAAGAGCTCTTCCCCATCCACATTATTCTCCTTTATATGAATAGTAATTGAAAATACTGTGTGGGAACGGCTGAAAGTATATAGTGCAAAAAGATATGTAAATAGCATAAAATTTAGTATTGTAAAACAATAAATAACACATTACATATCTAATTTAAGATAGCAACCTTGAATGAGCATTCATCAAAGTTGCAGCCGTTTGTCTTTTCTCTGATCCCTTCTCCAGTATCTTGTAGACTTCATTTTTGTTGTGTACAGTCACTTCCTCCAATCCATGAATTATCACCGAACCTTTTCTCGTAGCGTCCTCATAAAGCCTAAGATAATCACGAATGTTACACTAACATAATCTATTTTTCAAATCTCTTAGCAAGATTGCAGTAGTTTTACCTTATTTTAGATGCATCATCAGTGGGTGACAGCAAGTCAAATAATTCTTCATTATATAATTCAAGAAAGCTAACTCGTACTGTATATTCTTGTACTTCCAACATGCGTAACTCATCAAATAAGTGACTCAATGCACGTGGTATAATTCCTGCTTTAGTATCCTACATATATAAAAAAAAGATCCAAATTATACAATTTACTTGATGTTATATTGTCACACTTGTAAATTATGACAAAAAATATTAAATTTACTAAAGTTATATATATAATTGTTAAGAGTCGTTTTCTTTTTTCTAGTCACTCCATTCTCTTATAATTTGCTGTATTTCAAGTACTGTCTCGATTCAATAATCAGGAAGTTCTAGTTTTTAACATAAATATTAAAAATATGATGTTAACTTTATAACATGCCTAACATTAATATAATAAATACCATTGTATGTAATATAACAAAGTACATGTAATTACATATTGTTACATGTAATATAAATTTTATAGAACTTACACTTTGCCAATGCAATGTTGGATCATTGCTAACACCTTCCATAGTAAACGTCTTTCCAGTTCCAGTTTGGCCGTAAGCAAAAACTGTACAATTATATCCAGCCAATACTTCTTCAAGCAGCGGATTAACAACGGCATTGTACACGTCTACCTATAAATCACAACCATCTTCTTTAAACGAACGTTCTTTCAAATACTTAAGATAAAACATTTACTTTTTAATATATATAAAGAAACGTTCTATCTGTACCTGTTTCGAAGAAGGTCCAAATACTTTGTCAAACGTGAATTTCTTTGAATAATTGCCTTGTGATTTTTCATGCACCACTATTTCTTTGTTATTTGGCAACTCCAACACGGAGACAAACTTTCCGACTTTCTCGCTTTGATTTACTGGTCTGTTAAACATTAAAAAATTAATTACTTTCTAAATATGGTCCGATATCAACATACAAGGAAAACGTATGCGAAAGATAACAAGACTGTATTTAGTTGTTTAATCTTGATTTAATAGAGAAATTATATTTTACAAATTCTTCAGTAAGAGATAAAGATACTTTTACGAAATTTTTCAAGACAAAAAGAACTGAATGCTCCTCTCGTGGTGCATCGAGTAATAACGCGTCACACAGCGTCATGCATAGTTGTCGCTCACCTCACGCGCACGAAAACCTGTATATGCTGATTCTTATCCTTCTTCAGGCGCACCTCACTCATTTTGGATGATTTCTTGCGTAATTTATGTCTTGCTACAACACACGGCTAGTACGATCTCACGTTCGTCAACGACAACACGGTTTATCTCGCGTTCATTTACTGTTTGTAAACGCCAGACACGAGAAGTCAGCCACGGGTATCCGTTGGAGAATTTAAATTGAGATGCTTTGCGCGATCGTCGCCAGGTGACAGGAACCGCATTGTTCAACGGCAGCGAATCACGTGTCTCGACGCGTTGGATTGGTGCGAAACGATGCTGATGTCGCGTCATGTAAACGGTCGTGTCGCTCGAGTGTCCAGCACGCTCATTGGTCGATGCATATGCAGCGTACTAAAAAACATTAAGGCCCATTCACAATGCCAGGCAACAGTCAGCAGGAACAGGGAATAGAATTTCTGACGCGTTGGATTGGTTGGAAGAAAATTTCCGACGAATCCAACGCGTCAAAATTCTATTCTCTATTCCTATTGCCTGGCATTGTGTGATCGGCTTTAGGGATTGAGATTGGGATTA